CACATTTCAGTTGCCTGGGTTATACTAGCCACAGTCAGTGCCTGGGTTACTAACCACAGTCAGTACCGCTTGGGTTTTTACCACAGTCAGTGGCCTGGGTTACTACCCACCAGTCAATGCTGGTTACAACCGACTAGTCGGCCTGGGTTACTACCACAGTCAGTGCCTGGTTACTACCACAGTCAGTTGCCTGGGTTACTACCACAGTCAGTGTGATTCGGTACTACACAGTCAGTGCCTGGGGTTACTACCACAGTCAGTGACTGGGTTTATTACCACAGTCAGTACCTAGGTGTACTACCGCAGGCAGTACCTGGGGTTACTACCACAGTCAGGTGCCTGGGTATAGCGTACCGCAGGCAGTGCTGGTTACAACCACAGGGTTCCAGTGCCTGGGATACTACCACAGTCCAGTGCCTGGTTTACGTACCACAGTCAGTGCCTCGTTACTAACCACATTCATACCTAGGTTACTACCATCAGTCATGCCTGGGTTACCACCACAGTCATGCCTGGGAGTAACTACCACAGTCAGTTATCTAGTTACTACCACAGTCATGCCTGGGTTACTGCCTACAGACAGGCAGGTGCCTGGGTTAATACGCAGGTCAGTGCCTGGGGTTATTACCACAGTCAGTACCTAGGTTACTACCACAGTCAGTGCCTGGGCGGGCTACCACAGCGGTACCTAGATTACTACTAAGTACCACAGTCAGTGCCTGGGTTACTACCACAGTCAGTACCCTAGTTAACTCTACCACATTCAGTGCCGTGGGTTGACTGGAGCCACATTCCAGTGGCCTGGGTAACTACCACAGTCAGTGCTGTACTACCACAGTCAGTACCTAGGCTACTACCTACAGTGCATTGCCTGGGTTAGCTACACAGTGCAGTACCGGTAGGTTACTTACTACCACAGTCCAGTGCCTGGTTACTACCACAGTCAGTGGCCTGGGTTTATTACCACAGTCAGTGCTTAGGTTACTAGTACACAGTCAGGTACCGTGTGGTTACTACCACAGTCATTACCTGAGTTTTGCTGAACCGACAGTACCAGTTGCCTGGGTTACTAACCACAGTCCAGTGCCTGGGTTACTACCGGACAGTCAGTGCCTGTGTTACTACACACAGTTACCACAGTCCAGTACCTAGGCACTACCAACAGTCAGTGCATGGGTACTAACCTCGACAGTCCAGTACCTAGGTTACTACCACAGGATCAGTGGCCTGATTACTATCCACAGGGTCAGTGCCTGGTTATTACAACAGTCATACCTAGGTTACTAGACTGACCATAGTCCGGTACTGGGTTACTACCCACAGTCCAGTGACCAATGTTTACTACCACAGTCAGTGCCAGGGTTACTACCACAGTCCCCAGGTCCTGGGTTAACCAAAGTCAGTACCTATGTTTACTTACCACAGTCAGTGCCCTGTGGTTACTACCACAGTCAGTACCATGGTTACAACCACAATCAGTGCCTGGGGCTACTGACCACAGTCAGTAACGTGGGTACTACCACAGTCCAGTTGCCTGGTTTACTACTTACAGTCAGTGCCTGGGTTACTACCACAGGTCATACCTGGGTTACTACCACAGTCATATCTGGGCTAGCTACCACAGTCAGTGCCTGGGTTACCACCAATTCGGTGCTGGGTACGTAGCACAGTCAGTACTGTGTTACTACCACAGTCAGTGCCTGGGTTAAACCGCAGTCAGGTACTTGGGTTACTACACAGTCAGTGCCTGGGTTACTACCACTGTCAGCGATGCCTTTGGATGAACTACGCACCGCAGTCGGTACCTGGGTTACTAGCACAGTCAGTGCCTGGGTTACAGCCACAATCAGTACCTGGGTTACTACAATAGTCAGTGCCTGGGTTACTACCACAGTCAGTACCTGGGTTACTACCACAGTAATTGCCTGGGTTACTAGCACAGTCAGTACCAGGGTTACTACGACAGTCACTGCCTGGTTTACTACCAACAATAGTAACCCTGGGTTACTAGCACAGTCAGTACCTGGGTTACCACCACAGTCAGTGCTTGGGTTACTACCACAGTTCGTGTCTGGGTTACTAGCACAATCAGTGCCTGGGTTACTACCACAGTCAGTGCCTGGGTTACTACCACAATCAGTACCTGGGTTAGTAGCACAGTCAGTACCTAGGTTACTACTACTGTCAGTGCCTGGGTTACTAGCACAACCAGTACCTGGGTTACTACGACAGTCAGTGCCTGGGTTACTACCACAGTCAGTGCATGGGTTACTACCACAGTCAGTGCCTGGGTTACTACCACAGTCAGTGCCTGGGTTACTACCACAATCAGTACCTGGGTTACTAGCACAGTCAGTACCTAGGTTACTACCACAGTCATTGCCTGGGTTACTACCACAGTCAGTGTCTGGGTTACTATCACAGTCAGTGGCTGGGTTACTACCACAATCAGTACCTGGGTTACTAGCACAGTCAGTACCTAGGTTACTACCACGGTAGTACCGGGTTTTCTACCACAGTCATCCCGGGTTGCTCCCACAGCATCCCTGGGTTCTCCAAAAATCAGTCCTGAGTACTCCACAGCGTCCCTAGGTTACACCAAGTCATTTACGGGGGTTCTCCCACATCGTCCCTGGGTTGCTCCCACAGTTACCGGGGTTACTCCACAGTCAGTCCCGGGGTTATACCACAGTCAGTACCGGGGTTTTACTACCACTCGTACCGGGTTACTCCACGTCAGCCCTGGGTTTATACCCAGTCAGTCCTGGGTTACTCCCACAGTCAGCCGGGGTTTACTACCACAGTCGTACCTAGGTTACTACCACAGTCATTCCCGGGTTTACTACCACAGTCAGTCCCGGGGTTACTACCACGTCAGGCCTGGGTTTACCACAGCGTACTGGGTTACTACCACAGTCAGTGCCTGGGTTACTACCACAGTCAGTACCTAGGTTACTACCACAGTCAGTACCTGGGTTACTACCACAGTCAGTACCTGGGTTACTACCACAGTCAGTGCCTGGGTTACTACCACAGTCAGTGCCTGGGTTACTACCACAGTCAGTACCTGGGTTACTACCACAGTCAGTGTGATCAGATTTATAAGACAGTTTTAATAAGGAGAAGAAAAAACCTTTTGAAGTTCAACAGTATTTATTGTTTTAATTCACAGAAACTAAAACATCAGTATATAAACCATATACCACTAAACATCAGTATATAAATTATACACCAAAAAACATCTGTATATAAATCATTCAATTAAATGTATTTGTATATAATTAATTAGTGACTTCTTGTGCTATAACTCTTCTGTTTTACACTTAAATTTGTATTAAAACTCATTAGTGGTTGAGGTTCGATCCTCCGTCTGTCAGTGAGACTCAAGGTCTCAAGGCTACTTTATATATATGTTTTAAATCAAAGTTGAATATAACTCGGAGATACTTTGAGTGCCTCCACTCTTGAGGTTCCAGGGGCACTCGTCTACAAAGCGCTCTTGGCACTGATCTACGAGGCCTTCTTGGCACTGGTCTACGAGGCAGTCCTGGCACTGGTCTACGAGGCACTCGTGGCACTAGTCTACGAGGCATTCATGGCGCTGATCTACAATGTACTCTACGAGGCACTCGTGGCACTAGTCTACGAGGCACTTGTGGCACTAGTCTACAAGGCACTCGTGACACTGGTCTACGAGGCACTCGTGGCACTGATCTACAATGCTCTCTACGAGGCACTTGTGACACCAGTCTACGAGGCACTCGTAGTACTGGTCTACGAGGCACTCGTGGCACTGATCTACAATGCACTCTACGAGGCACTCGTGGCACTAGTCTACGAGGGACACGTGACACTGGTCTACAAGGCACTCGTGGCACTGGTCTACGAGAGACTCTACGAGGCACTTGTGGCACGGATCTACGAGGCACTCGTGGCACTGATCTACGAGACACTCGTGGCACTAGCCTACAAGGCACTCTACCCTGGAGGGAGGTGTGTCCGTGAAAGTGAAGGCCTCTTGATACCAGGAATAATGTCTGCCATCCCTATCCTTGGATCAAACATGATTATCTAACACTCCCCAGATTCTCTTTACCTCCTGAATGCAACTATATTATGTATGGGGAAGCGCAAAACTCGTATGGAATCTTACAGAGCCTTCGGAACGGGAGGTAAGAAGGTTCCAGCCAGGGATGGGACGGCTAGCTCATATATATATATATATATATATATATATATATATATATATATATATATATATATATATATATATATATATATATATATATATATATATATATATATATATATATATAATAAATATATATATATATATATATAAATATATATATATATATATATATATATATATATATATATATATATATATATGTATATATATATATATATATATATACATGTATATATATGTCGTGCCGAATATGTAAAACTGGTCAATTAGCAAGAACTCATTTGAAATTAAGTCCTTTCTAAAATTTTCTCTTATACGTTTAAAGACATATTTTTTTTATTAATGTTCATGTAAAAAATTATAATTTTGCACCAAAAGGAACTTAGAAAACTTACCTAACCTTATTATAACAAGTGCAATTTATTTTAGCCTAACCCTACTAAATATATTTTAGATTTGTTTACAATAATTTAATACTAAACAAACACAGTGAAATATATTTTTTTCGTTTAGTTCAGAATGGTTTTTGGCGAAATTTTTTCATATACAAATTTTCACTTGTCCTATATGGCAAGATGAGCGTTGCTATTTAAGCCAAGATCGCAAGTTCTGCCTATTCGGCACGACATATATATATATATATATATATATATATATATATATATATATATATATATAATATATATATATATATATATATATATATATATATATACATATATATATATATATATATATATATATATATATATATATATATATATATATATATATCGTTAAATTTTAATTCTAATTAACCAACCAACTAAACACACACACACAAACACACACACACTCACTAACAACACCTATCTACAAACATACCTCAGTACGTATAACATACTGTGACTCTCGGTGTCTGGCATGAATTAAGATGAACTGCAGTCTAGTAATTCTTTAGAGAACATTGTCTTGTTCTGATCTACACATGTATTGATCTCTCTACTACATCGCTGAAGTTCTCCTTTTTCACGCTCTTCCTTCTTTTGCCTTTGATTTGTTATCTCTCTCTTATTGTTTAAGAACATGAGAAAGGAAGAACACTGCAGCAGGCAAGTCCTTCACAATATGCAAATCCATCCTTCACAATCCATCCTCAGTTTATGTTGTTTCAAAACAAGAGAGAGGTATTAAAGTCCCTGTTATTTCTTCTGTTTCTCTTCTTGTTTCTATTTGCCTTATTTTTCTTACTGGCCTGATTTTTCTTTTTCGCCTTCTTCCTGTTCCATTTTCTCCATTTGCTATTTCTAGCCTTCCACTGTTTATTATTGTGTTTCTTCCTGGGGGCGAGCCAGTCATACTGATCATTCTTCTGGGAGAGCCAGTTAAGATGGTCATTCTTAGGAGCGAGCCAGTTAATCTGACTATTCTTAGGGGAGATCCAGTTAACCAGATCTTTCTTAGGGAAGAGCCAGTTAACCTGGTCATTCTTAGAAATGGGTTGGTTAACCAGGTCTTTCTTAGGGAAGAGCCAGTTAACCTGGTCATTCTTAGAAGGGAGTTGGTTAACAAGGTCATTCTTAGGAAGGAGCCAGTTAACTTGTACTTGATGGTGATTTTTCCTAAGGTCAGTCGCAGGGAGACCAGAGTTAGGGAGGTAAGAGGATAAGATGCTTCCAGCGTCCCCTGCCACCGCTCTTCCCTGAACACCAGGGAGGTAGGGGAAGGGTATGGGATTTCCAGCACTCCCTGCTTCCAGCCTTCCTGGAACCCCAAGTGTAAACACACCGCTGCCACGGTCGTCAATCTTCTTCTTCTTATACTTTCTTCGCAATTTTTTCTTCATTTTCCTCCTCTTAAGCTTGTTCTTTCTATTTTTATTTGCTGTGGCCTTTTGGTAATTTAGTTTGGCGTTTCTGTTGTTAGTTACAGAAGCAAAGTTTCTGTTGTTTAGTTTTAACGGTCTGTCTGTTGATCCGTTTGTTTTGGCTTCATTTCTACGTTTATTTTTCTTCATCTTGCTCCACTTCTTCATTTTCCTTTTCTTCCCCTTTCTCTTCCTCCTCTGTTTATTTAGTTTTTTACCTTTCTTCGCTAGATTTTGGTTTCTGAGTCTGGAGTCTGGTGTCGCTCCAGTGACTGCTGCTGTTGATGACAATACTGGAGGAAAAATGACATTTCTATCCACACCTCTGCTGTCTGTTAAGTGATTCTTGATGACTTGATTGTTTCTAGGATCGTTCTTCTTCGTTCTCTTTCGTTGTATCATCTTACGTTTCTTCTTCTTCTTCTTCTTCTTCTTTCTGTATTTCTTGGTGTTTTTCCAGTTGACTCTTCTGTTCTTATTTTTATTGTTTTTCCTCTTCTTGATCATCCTGAACTTCTTATTTTTATTTTTATTTTTGATCTTACCTTTTATCCTATGATTATTTCTCTTTTTCTTGTTTCTCTTTCTCTTGCTGATCCTCCGGGTCTTATTTTCATTGCTCTTATTCAGTCTTTTATTAGCAGTTTTATTTCCAGAATGTGTCATGTTCTTGTGATCATTATCTATTCTTTGTGATGGTTGCCCAGTACTGGTCACATTCTTTTTCCTGTCTCCCTTTTCCCTGGGGAAATTATTTCTTAGATTTTTATTTAATTTACCCTTCTTATTCTTTCGTATTCTCTTCCTTCTTCTTTTCTTTAGCCTTTTAAGTATGTTTTTAATTTGCTTACGTTTCTGGAAGTTTTTCTTCGTTTTCGTTCGATTCTTAATTAATTTTCTATTCTTTCCGCTTCTCCACCTAGGGAGCAACTTATTTCCGATTCTCTTTATTTGGTTTCTTACACGTCTTCTTCTAGCTGACTTGAGTTTTCCTTTTGACATCTTGTTGATTTGGTCAGCGACGAGCCAGATGCTCTGCCTGATCTCCGTTAGGTTTCCTTGCATTAGTCTCCTGTTGGCGTCACGGGCCTTAAAGATCTGCTTCCAGAGGCTTTTCTCCTGAGGGGTGGCGAAGGAGTACTTCACATCCATCCACTTGAGTGAGTTGGGGAGAGTAACCACCTGAGTACCGTCAGTAGATGTGAGAAGCGTGGCTCCTGCCGGGGGAGATGTCAGCACTCCCCCACTCACCTTCAGCATCATGTTGAATTGGCTCCTGCGGGCCTGCGCCAGCAGCTGCTGCAGGCGTCTGCGAGTCTGCTGAAGGCGAGGGAGAGGCATGTCACTGATGAGCTGCTGGACTGCCGCTAGCGTCACCTGGGACGGTGCCGCCAGTGCCGGGTCCACAGGTGCCACGCTGATACTGGGAGAACCTCGTAGTCTCTCCTGTTGGCGAAGGTTTCTAGTCGCCCTGAAGATGTTTCGCCACGTGTCACGAGAACTCTTGTCCCTGATGGAGTCCTTCACGTCCTTCCATTTGACTCCAGGCGGGATCTGTAAAGGCGGACTTCAAGTAATTGCAAAGTTAGAAAAGATCGTGTGTATATTGCACGTGAGGGTGCAAGCTGCAAGCGGAAGCTGCAGAAGTGACTACAAGGGAACCAGCTGTCAGCTGAATAAATAAATAAATAATTCATATTAAGAACTAAACCCTTGTGGATAATTCAGCGCAAGACATAGCGAAGGCTTGATGCTCCGTCTGCTGAGCGCCAGAGGTGCTGCTCACAGGCTGAAGAACTTGCATAATAAATTTACATTGCTTGCCTAAAAGAACCGCTTGTAAACGAACCTGACATGAAGAGAACCAGCAATTATGTTATTGTTATTACAGTTATCCACGTTTAGATAACTGTAATTATGACTATGTTTCTTATACATGCAATTAATTTTTTCATCTTGTTTATAGGGCTACGACTATTATTGTAATAAATTTTATAATGTTTTGGTATATATGGGTGTTGAGATATTAAGGATATTGATTATAATGAATGTTTTGACTAATCTATATTACGAAAAAATAAATTGGGTCTGAAGGAGAGCATCAAAATTATTTATGGAATTTAAAAATTAGGATACGTAGGCGTACACAAACACATACACACACACACACACACACACAAACACAGACACACACAAACACAGACACACACAAACACAGACACACATAAACACAGACACACATAAACACAGACACACATAAACACAGACACACACAAACACAGACACACATAAACACAGACACACACAAACACAGACACACACACAAACACAAACACAGACACACACAAACACAGACACACACAAACACAGACACACACAAACACATACACACACAAACACAGACACACACAAACACACACACACACAAACACAGACACACACAAACACAGACACACACAAACACAGACACACATAAACACAGACACACACAAACACAGACACACACAAACACAGACACACACAAACACAGACACACACAAACACAGACACACACAAACACACACATACACAAACACAGACACACACAAACACAGACACACATAAACACAGACACACACAAACACAGACACACACAAACACATACACACACAAACACAGACGCACACAAACACAGACACACACAAACACAGACACACATAAACACAGACACACACAAATACATACACTCCCAGTCACACATATGTTGATAGGCATTCTTGACTTACCAAGACAGCGACCTCTCCGTCGGGTCCAGAGATGACCTGTACGCCAGGTGGGACCTGGGCCAGGGGCAGCCCTACTCCACTCATGCTGATCCTGGTCCCTGAGGTGCTCGTGGTCCCTGAAGTCCCAGTGGCCCCTGAGGTACCCGTGATCCCTGGGACGGGGCGCGAAGGTGGGGTGCTGAAGCCGCTAGGCACTGTGATGGGAACGTTGATAACACCATTACCGCCGAAAACACCACCGGAAGCCCCACCATTCCCACCGGAAACCCCACCATTCCCACCGGAAACCCCACCATTCCCACCGGAAACCCCACCATTCCCACCGGAAACCCCACTATTCCCACCGGGAACGCCACCGGAAACACCACCATTGCAGCAGGAAGTACCTCCGGAAGTACCATCACCATTCCTGATGGTGGTAGTGAGGATGCTGGTAGTGCTGGTAGTGGTGGTCGTGGTGGTGGTGGGTGTTGGTGCTGCTCTTGTTGTTGTTGTGGTGGGTAAGAGAATGTGTGGTGGAGATGCTGGAGACGACACAGAAGTGTTGGAGATACCATCTCCACCATACCCGCCATTCCCAGGTGTGTTTCCCTGCCACCCACCATCATTACCATGTTTATTCCCATTATCAATATTCCCAGCTAATTTATTTCCAGCATCGTTTACAAAAGGGATGCCAGAGTTATTCCCGTTGCTTGCTCCTCGTTTAGCATCCGTTGCCCCTTTATCTCCCGTTCCTGTTTTACCTCCCGTTCCTCCCGTGCCACCAGTTCCTAATTTATCTCCCGTTCCTCCATTCCCTTTGGCTCCTTTATCACTTATTTCTCCTTTATCTCTCGTTCCTACTTTATCGCCTATGTCTTTTTTATCGTTCTTTATTTTTTGGTCTTCTGTTTCTCCTTTGTTCCCAAATCCTTTTTTATCACCCATTCCTTGTTTATTGCTAGTTCCTCCTTTATCTCCTTCGTAATCTATAAACTCAGCATCAAATTCTCCTCCATCTATATCCTGTCCACTGGTTTCCTTCCCTCCTACTTCCTTCCCTCCTCCTTCCTTCACTCCTCCTTCTTTTCCTCCTTCCTTCCCTCCTTCTTCCTTCCCTCCTCCTTCCTTCCCTCCTCCTCCTCCTTCCTTCGCTCCTCCTTCTCCTTCCTTCCCTCCACCTCGTTCCTTCCCTCCTTCTTCCTTCCCTCCTCCTCCTTCCTTCCCTCCTTCTCCTCCCTCCCTCTCCCCTCTCCTATCCACCATAATACTCATATTCATATTCTCCATCTCCACCTGCTCCTCCATCCTGGCCACTAATTTCTCCATCATCTTCAGCATCTCCACCATCACCACCACCACCATTACCACCACCACCCACCACCACCACCACCACCACCACCATCATCACCACCACCATCCCCACCACCACCACCATCACCACCACCATCACCACCACCATAACCACCACCATCACCATCCTCACTCTTCTCACCTTCTCCACCATCGTCATACTCGTCAACATCACCGTATGCGTCGTCATATTCCTCATCACCTTCGCCACCCACATCATATTCAACATCGGCACCTTCACCAGCCTCCAGACCGCTTGTCTCAATGTCATCATCACCTTCGCTAGCAACACTTCACCATTATCACCTTCACTAGCAATGCCTTCACCATCATCACCTTCACTAGCAACATTTTCACCACCAACACCTTCCCTGCCATCACTTTCACCACCAACACCTTCACTAGCAATACTCTCACCCTCATCACTCTCACTAGTAACACTTTCACCAACAACACCTTCCCTGCCAACACTTTCACCACCAACACCTTCACCACCGTTACTTTCATCTTTGTCACCATCACCTTCACCAATATCACCTCTATCATCACCTTCACCCCCCTCACCTTCACCGGTAATGTTGTATTCACTCTCACCACCAACATCATGATCAGTATAATTTTCATAGAATACAACATATTCATCATCATATTCATTTCCCAAGTCATATTCATCATCACTTTCACCATCAGCGTCATGCTCATAATTTTCGTTACTGATATCATATTCGGTATCTTCACCTTCACCATCTTCTAGAGAGCTTGTATTAAAGTAACCATCACCTTCACCACCATTTTCAACTTCACTATCACTTCCACCATAATCATGTTCATTACTAACGTTATATCCAGTAACACTCTCCAAAATGTCATATTCTTCATCATTTTCACCGTCTGTCTCGAATTCCTCATCACTTTCAAGACCATCACCTTCACCATCAACACCTTTACTGCCATCATTTTCACTATTATAACCTTTATCACCTTCACTTTGACTGCCATGTTTTTCACCATCATAATCTTCAGCAGCATCACCTTCACCACGAACACTTTCACTATGGTCACTGTCACTATCTTCAGCATCAGCATTTTCATTTTCACTGTCATCACCTTCTCCACCAGCCTCATGTTCGCAGCTATATTCAACCCCACCAGTTTCCAGACCGCTTGTTTCATAGTCATTTTCACTTTCATCATCAATTCCATTCAGACGCTGCTCACCTTCACTCATACTACTTAAGTTTCCTCCATTCTTACTCTCACTTTCACCTGCGTCATGTTCACTACTTAGGATCTCACCAACATCCTCACTTTCACCATTTACCTCACTACCATCTCCAACACTACTGTCTCCAACACCACTATCTTTAACACTTGTATCTCCAACACTGCCATCTCCAATACTATCATCTCCAACACTACCATCTCCAATACTGCCATCTCCAACACTGCTGTCTCCAACACCACTATCTTTAACACTTGTATCTCCAACAGTGCCATCTCCAACACTATCATCTCCAACACTACCATCTTCAGTACTGCCATCTCCAACACTACTATCTCCAGCACCACTATCCTCAACATTACCATCTCCAACACTAGCATCTCCAATACTACTATCTCCAACGCTGCTGTTTTCAACACTGCCATCTCCAACACTGTCATTCCCAACACTTCCATATCCAACACTGCCATCCCCAACACTTCTTTCTCCAACTCTGCCATCCCCAACACTGCCATCTCCAACACTGCCATCTCCAACACTGCCATCTCCAACACTGCCAATTCCAACACTGCCATTTGCAACACTACTATCTCCAACATTAGTATCTCCACCAATGTCATCTCCAACGCTACTATCTCCAACACTGCTATCTCTAACACTATCTCCAGCAATGTTATCTCCAACACTATTTCCACCACCTGCATAGGTTCCTTTAACTTTGTTGGCGTCTTCGTTCCTTGTTGGATACCCACGTTCATCACCATCATTACCACCTTCATCACCATCATTACCACCTTCATCACCACCATCATCACCACCACCACCAGCATCATCACCACCATCACTGTAACTATCACCACCACTATCATCACTACCAACATCTTCGTAGTTTTCACTATAATCATCAGAGAAAAATCGGTGTAGTCATCACTTCCGGCATCATTATCATCATCCCCACCACCACCACCACCACCACCATCACCACCATCACCACCACCACCACCATCACCACCACCACCATCACCACCATCACCACCACCACCATCACCACCACCACCATCACCACCACCACCACCATCACCACCAGCATCACCACCACCACCATCACCACCACCACCATCATCACCATCACCACCACCACCATCACCACCACCATCACCACCACCATCACCACCACCACCACCATCACCACCACCACCACCATCACCACCACCACCACCGCCACCATCACCACCATCACCACCACCAACACTACCATCACCATCATCTCCAGCATTATCAAAATTATTACCAACACCAGCGCTACTAATTATAACCGCCGTCATCAACACCACCGTCACTCCCATCACGATTCCCATCACCACCACCATCCCCATCACCACCACCATCACCACCACCATCACCATCACCATCACCACCACCACCCCCATCACCACCACCATCCCCATCACCACCACCATCACCACCACCATCGCCATCACAACCACCATCCCCATCACCACCACCATCACCATCCCCATCACCCCCACCATCCCCATCACCACCACCATCACCATCCCATCACCCCCACCATCCCCATCACCACCACCATCACCATCACCTCCACCATCCCCATCACCACCACCATCACCATCACCTCCACCATCCCCATCACTACCATCACCACCACCATCACCATCACCATCACCATCACCACCACCACCACCATCACCATCATCCAGTCTAAGATCTGAGGTCTCCACCTCATTTTCTTCTTCCTTCGACAATTTTTCTTGCCTTACTATGATATTCCGTTTGTTTCTCTCTCCCTTATCTTCTTTGGAGTCATTCTCCACCTTCCTGTCTCGCTCACATTCCTTCCAATCACCATCCTCACCACCTTCGTGGGTGACTGCCTCATCTCTTTGTCTCTGAGACGAGATGAGAGTCTCTCCATCGGTTATTGAGACATCGAAGTCCATAACTCGTGCAAGTTCCGAAGTTGTGCTTGAGGAACCTCTCAGCCAAGACTTTTTGAAGCTTCCAGTTAAGGCTGAGATGAATGGCTGTAAGACGCCTTCGTCGAGGACTTCACTGTCTTTAGCACTCTTCTGAATGGACGTCAGCGGGCTTCGGACGTTCGTGGATAACGTCATCGGATTGAGAACGTTCTCTGATGACGCCATATATCTCGGTGCGTTCGTGGACTGAATCAGTGGGCTCAAAATATGCTCGAATAGACTCACTAGACGGAGAAGGTTCGTAAACTGCGCCCTGGTTGTTGACGAGGTTGACGCTATGGCTGCTGTCGCTGGCGTCATGGCTGGCGTCGTGGCTGTCGTACGACCTCTGTGAGAGGTCTGCGTCCATCCGCACGTCCTCCGCCTCCTGCAAGAAGAAAAAGATTAAAACGTGAATGCACGTTACTGTTTTGCTTCCCTGAGAGGCGCCAGAGGGCAGCACAGCAAGAACAGTTACGATTTAACGGTGACGCATTCGCTGGGGTACCTTGTTAAGCAGAGGGTCACTGTTGAGTTGTGTAATGCGGGAAATTTGTAATTTTTTCACTGTGAGGTGTACGAGCAGTGCCACTCTGAGGAGTGCTGGAGGATCCCTCACTCTATGTATGAATTTGTTTGTATATATTTGCGTATATATATCTGTGTGTGTGTATGTGGTGTGTGTGTGTGTGTGTGTGTGTGTGTGTGTGTGTGTGTGTGTGTGTGTGTGTGTGTGTGTGTGTGTGTGTGTGTGTGTGTGTGCGTGTGTGTGTGTGTGTGTGTGTGTGTGTGTGTGTGTGTGTGTGTGTGTGTGTGTGTGTGTGTGTGTGTGTGTGTGTGTGTGTGGTGTGTCCGGGGAGGGTCAGTGGGAGGCCGCTCTCATTCTCCATGCTTCTCGTCCTTCGCATCTGACCCAAATTTGTATACATTACGAAACAAATTTATATATACCTACTTTATCCACCTCCATCTTTCGTTCTCTCTCTCTCTCTCTCCCTCTGCATCTCAAATCCCTCCACCCATCTATCCAACTATCTCTCTCTTTCTCTTTCCCTTTCTCTCTCTTCCTTCCTCTCCCTCCCGTTAACCCATTACTCACTGAACGCTACAAACAATTGCAAGTGAGTGCTTATGTTGCGTGATAATAGCTCATAAGTGTAGTGCATGATGATGAATGACAACAGTGGCGGTGGTGGGTGTGAGTTACTGGTATCCGGGGAAAGGCAAGTTATTCCTACTGTTGTATCGTAAATGTCCATCCCATGCGACTTTCAGCAATGTTGTGTTGCTTCTTAAATGGATTTCCTGTCGTGCCCTCACACACAACACACACACACACAGAAGGGGTGACAGATGATAAGTGTTGAACTAGAAACCGGTTTCACTGGCCAGCATACCAGGCAAGGTGATGGAAAAGATTATTAGGATAATTATTTGTATAATAACTAACCATCACAGGTTCAGAGATGGCAAATCTTGTCTTCCCAACCTGTGGAAGTTTTATGACAAAGTAACAGATGTGAGCCAGGAGAAAGAGAGGGATGGGTGAATTGCATTTTCTTAGACCGCAAGAATGCATTTGATACTGTACCCTACAAGAGGCTGGGACAGAAACTTGAGGTGCAGAAGGAATAACTTGGGACGTACTCTGGTGGATCAAAGAGTAACTTAAGGGAAGGAAGCAAAAAAGTGTTTGTTAGGGATGATACATCAGAATAACATTCGTGGTTCCACAAGGATTATTATTAGGACCAGCAATGTTTCGGGTTTATATCTATGACAGTCCTGATGGGTTTGATTCAGATGAATCTTTATTTGTTGATAATATAAATGCCGAGAATAAAGAGAGACGAGCACAGTGAAAGGCTACAAATGGCTCTGGATAAACAGCAATATGGGTCATGAATGTAATTTATTAAATTCAAGCTTAGCAAGTGCATAGTAATGAGTATGTATGATACGGCCCACTAGACAATGAAGGAGAGAAGCTAGCAAGTGGTAAGAGGTGGGGCTGGGAGCTAGAACTCGACTCCTTTAACCACATATAGGTGAACACATAGAGATAGGTACATATTTTTTCCCATTAGTTGTTGATGTTCCATAATCAGACACTTCTGTGTCAAATAATCTGGACAGCTTGCAACATCTCAATCCCTCAATAATATAATTATCTTACATAAAAGTCATTGAGGCTTCGCAGCCTTACACCTATTATACATTCTTCAGGTCACGCCAGACTCTTCCATTGCTTGAACTACATACATACTAATTTTCTGCAAATTTAAGCCAAGGCACTAACGTAAGATATAAGATCCTGCTCACATGGTCCTCCTCCTCCGTGTAATAACCTTAACTCGTCTAGGGACGTGGCCGTCGTTTCATCATTATCGGTCGACCGCAGCAGAGAAGGAAATTGAGGCCAAGTAAACACCCTCTGCTGTGTTGCCCAGATAGCCGCCCATCTAATAATCTGGCTAGTGTCGTAGTAGGTTAGCTTCCGTAGGTATTGGTGCGCTGTGCTGTTAATAATGACATCATTTCCAAACTCACGTCTACGGTGATGGTCTTACTGGCTGAGGACTCGTAAAAGGTCAGGTTTAAGAAAGGCCAACTATCGTTCTTATAGCTGGTTGCTTAACGACTGAGCATTTTTTGGTAATGCAATCTCTTGCAATTGAGTGAACAATTCGGTCGTGCCTCATATCCCTCTGACTATGAGTCATTGGGCATGTGTGGAGAATATGCCTCAATGTCTGCCGGTGTCGTCAGCCGGCACAATTCCTAGCCTTTTGGGTTCCATTTCCTCGTGAGATCCTCGTCTTCATGGGCATTATGTTGTGGTTGATTTTTAACTGCAACGAAAAACTACTTCTTTATGAAGGTCGCCGGCGTCTTTATCAGTGCTTGTCCCTATGGCACTAACAAGAGAGTCTATGGCATAGTCAAGAGAGTTTTCTTGTTTTACACCTCTGTTCACCGGGCCACTACTGCCAAGAACAGTTGTGGTCATCATCTCCTGAATGAATTGCTTATAGTGAGTGGTAAACGAAAGCAAATTTTACATGTTACCGATATTCTGCCTCACCAGTCATGCTGAGATGTAAGCCGCTAGATCATCCCCTTTTTTTATACGCAAGAAGTGGGCGGATAATAATGCCAGGAGGTAATGCTGAAGTCATTATCGTCCTTTACCCACACTCTGGAGAGAAAATTTTAGACAGTGTCTCTGTAATGGAACATTAAGTCATAACTAAGGGAGAAAATGGTTAAGAATGAACTAAAGCGTCGTCGAAAGTTTCCTCTCCAGAGGCTGAGTTAGTTGTAAATCCTTCCAGCTATTGTAGTTCTACATATTCTTCGGGTTTTATTCCTTAAATATAACAACACAAACATGCAACATATACTTCCTTTAGTTGCGGATAAGAGAATCGTGAAAAAAAGATAAATTTTAAAAGCAATATTGCTTTTAATATTGTACCAGTACGATAAAAAAAATCCCAGTGTTTATCAATCTCAAAGAATAGAAACTTAAGGTTATGATTAATCATTAAGAACGTAAGACCCTAAATGCGTGTCGAAGATGACTGTCAAAGATGCTGACCTGTGAACGATGATGATAAACATAATGTGGACCTCCGCTCCCTCCGACGTCCCCTGCTGCAGGAAAAGATGGACCCTTCTTCTCTGGAAACTTAAAAGGATCCCTTTCTTTTGTGACTACATGGAGGCCCCTTCCGTCTGGAACTAGGGAGGGGTCCCCTCTGGCTGGGGCTGGAACATTCGTGGGACTTCTGACGTTCAGCAGTGCTGAGTTGTCCTCTGATGAACGGCTTTCGTTGACGAGAAAGGGTACCCATGCGTAGAGGGGAGGAGAGGGCACCTGTGCTTGAAGAGGGCTCGAGTTGTGGTACTGGAGGGGTAAGTGAGAGCGGGGAACAGCAAAGACTGGAGGAAGGATGAGGATCGTCTCCAGCAGCAACAGCAACATTCCTGAAATAAATCTGATAAACACAAAGAGTTAACATAACAGAAGTTCCAGTGAGCTGGGAACTTAACAACAAACACGGTGCTCTCATTGTTTTAACAAAACATTTGCGAAAATACTTGTATACTGTAAGATAAAGATATATATGTATATTTAGGTAGCTAGAGAGAGCTTTCACAACAAGACTCGTCGAAATATAAGAAATATGACCCTAGATTAAGATATACGGTTTGGTAAAGTCGAAGTATAATAGTCGAGAAACATACACCATGACATGTAGTTGTTGTTGTTGTTGGTGGTGAAGTTGGTGAGGTTCAGAAATGCATCTTGCCCCAGCGTCTCTTCTCCAACTCTCCTCCACCACACAACTCTTCCTCTCACAGTTTCCTGATAACAATAAATTTTCCTCCTCTTTTTTCCTTACAATTCTTCGTCTTCTATCTTGGGAATTTCTTTTTTTTTCTACACATTCGTATCTCCTCTCACACTGACATATTTATCTCAGCCAGATTTTTCATAATTTTTGAGCAACGCCGATCTGCAGGTAAGAAAAAAAATGATTGAAAAATTACTGAAGATGTTGTAATTTGTGAAATTTAAATGGCCTTTCACAAGATGTTGATATTGACATCACCACCACAACAACCACAACCACCACCCACCACCACCACTGCAACCACAGCCACCACCACCCACCACCTCCACAACTCACCAACAGTAGTGCTGCTCCAACTCTGAGCGACAACACTAACCAACAATAACTGGGACAACTATGAACGACTGAGATACACTACTTTCCCTGGCGTGTTTACGTCCATCAGCTGACCACTGACGTCACAATATAGCGTCACTCAAACGTATAACATCGTAATAATTACATTAATAAGAAAGCCATAAATTCGACCCATGTTAAGCCTGACCATTACCATAACAGTGAAAGTAAACATTCCTAGCTTCTCCAACTGTCACATAATGTTTATATATATAAATTACAATGCTAACTAGAAAAGGCGGTGGCATTAAGCACAGTGTGCATAATAACAGAGTTAATAAAGAATATAAAGAGGATTTAGTGGAAATTACGAGAAATTGTTATTGTTAGAACCTGGTGACTCTACTTGAGTTAGAACCTGGTGACTTATGTAGAACCTGTCTCTACTTGAGTTAGAACCTGGTGACTCTACTTGAGTTAGAACCTGGTGACTCTACTTGAGTTAGAACCTGGTGACTACTTGAGTTAGAACCTGGTGACTCTACTTGAGTTAGAACCTGGTGACTACTTGAGTTAGAACCTGGTGACTCTACTTGAGTTAGAACCTGGTGACTCTACTTGAGTTAGAATCTGGTGACTCTACTTGAGTTAGAACCTGGTGACTCTACTTGAGTTAGAACCTGGTGACTACTTGAGTTAGAACCTGGTGACTCTACTTGAGTTAGAACCTGGTGACTCTACTAGAGTTGTTTAATACTTTATGCAACTCTAGAGTAGCGGTAAAGGAGGTTTTAATTCCTAAAATATGTTATAAAGCGAACTCTCAGTGTATATACACAGATTATATACATTAAGTATATACATGCGATATATACTTGTACACACACATACACATAAAAACAATATATATATATATATATATATATATATATATATATATATATATATATATATATATATATATTATATATATATATATATATATATAAATATAATATATATGTATATTATAATATATATAATGTCATCAGTTATATACACATATACACTATACTGTATAGTGTGTATTCCCCTGTGACGTCAGAGGCGTCATCATTGTTTCAACATATGAAAGTGCCTCCTGCCCGGTCCCCTCCCTCCCCACCCATCTCCTCCCCTCCCCTCACCCCTCCCCCTCACCACCTCCCCTCATCCTCCCTACCCCTCCCACCCCTCCCTCCTCACCCCTCCCCTCATTCCACCCTCCCCTCACCCCCCTCCCCTCATCCCTCCCCTACCCACCTCCCCTCCCCTCCACCCCCCCCTCCCTCCCTCACCCCTCCCCCTCATCCCTCCCCCTCATCCCTCCCCTCCACCCTCCCCTCATCTCCCTACCCCTCACCCTCCTCCCTCTCACCCCTCTACCCCCCTCACCCCTCCCCTCACTCCTCCCCTCACCCCAGGGGACACAGACAAGGAGACATAGGTGAGAGGACACACACGAGGGGGCGCACACGAGGGTACACACACGAGGGGACACACACGAGGGAACACACGAGGGGACATACACGAGGGGATGCACATGAGGGGACACACACGAGGGGACACACACGAGGGGACACGCACGAGGGTACACACACGAGGGTACACACACGAGGGTACACACACGAGGGGACACCACGAGGGGACATCACACGAGGGGACGATCACGAGGGACACACACGAGGGGACACACACGAGGGGACACACACGAGGGGACACACACGAGGGGACACGCACGAGGGTACACACACGAGGGGACACACACGAGGGGACACACACGAGGGGACACACACACGAGGGACACACACGAGGGGACCACACACGAGGGGACACACCGAGGGGATACACACGAGGGGACACAACACGAGGGACACACGGGACCCACCGAGGGGACACCACACGAGGGGACACACACGAGGGACACACGAGGGACACACGAACCCAGGGACACACACGAGGGACACACACGAGGGGACACACACGAGGGGACACACACGAGGGGACACACGAGGGGACACACACGAGGGGACACACACGAGGGGACACACGAGGGGACACACACGAGGGGACACAACACCGAGGGGAACACACACACGAGGGGAACCAACCACGAGGGGACACACACCGAGGGGACACACACGAGGGCACACACACGAGGGGACACACACGAGGGGACACACACGAGGGGACACACACGAGGGGACACACACGAGGGGACACACACGAGGGGACACACGAGGGGACACACGAGGGGATACACACGAGGGGACACACACGAGGGGACACACACGAGGGGACACACACGAGGGGACACACGAGGGACACAACACACGAGGGGACACACACGAGGGGACACACACGAGGGCACACAGGACACCACGAGGGGACACACGAGGGGAACACACGAGGGGACACACAGGACACGAGGGGACACACACACGAGGGGACACACACGAGGGGACACACGAGGGGCACACACCACGAGGGAACACACGAAGGACACACGAGGGGACACACACACGAGGGGACACACACGAGGGGACAACACACGAGGGGACACAACGAGGGACACACACGAGGGGACACACGAGGGGACACACACACGAAGGGGACACACACGAGGGGACACACGAGGGACACACACGAGGGACACACACGAGGGACACACACGAGGGGACACACGAGGGGACACACGAGGGGACACACGAGGGGACACACCAGGGGACACACACGAGGGGACACACGAGGGGACACACGAGGGGACACACACGAGGGGACACACACGAGGGGACACACACGAGGGGACACACACGAGGGGACACACGAGGGGACACACGAGGGGACACACGAGGGACACACACGAGGGACACACACGGGAACACGAGGGGACACACACGAGGGGACACACACGAGGGGACACACACGAGGGTACAAAACACACGAGGGGACACACGAGGGGACACACGAGGGGACACACACGAGGGGACACACACGAGGGGACACACGAGGGGACACACGAGGGGACACACGAGGGGACACACACGAGGGGACACACGAGGGGACACACACGAGGGGACACACACGAGGGGACACACGAGGGGACACACGAGGGGACACACACGAGGGGACACACGAGGGGACCAAAACGAGGGTACACACCAGGGACACACGAGGGGACACAACACGAGGGGAACACACGAGGAGGACACACAGAGGGGACACACGAGGGGACACACGAGGGGACACACACGAGGGGACACACCACGAGGGACACACGAGGGGACACACACGAGGGGACACACGAGGGGACACACACGAGGGGACACACGAGGGGACACACGAGGGGACACACGAGGGGACACACCAGGGGACACACGAGGGGACACACACGAGGGGACACACACGAGGGGACACACGAGGGGACACACGAGGGGACACAGGGCCACAGGGACACACGAGGGGACACACGAGGGGACACACGAGGGGACACAACACGAGGGGACACACACGAGGGGACACACGAGGGACACCGAGGGGACACACGAGGGGACCACCAGGGACACGAAGGGTACACACACGAGGGGACACACGAGGGGACACACGAGGGGACACACGAGGGGACACACACGAGGGTACACACACGAGGGGACACACGAGGGGACACACACGAGGACACACACGAGGGGACACACGAGGGGACACACCAGGGGACACACACGAGGAGACACACGAGGGGACACACCAGGGGACACACACGAGGGGACACACGAGGGACACACAGGGACACACACACCGAGGGACACACACGAGGGGACACACGAGGGACACACCAGGGACACACCAGGGGACACACACGAGGGGACCACACGAGGGTACACACACAGGGGACACAACACGAGGGGACACACGAGGGGACACACACCAGGGTACACAAACACAGGGGAACACAGGACACAGAGGGGACACACAGAGGACACACCGAGGGGACACACGACAGGGGACACACGAGGGGACACACGAGGGGACACACACGAGGGGACACACGAGGGGACACACGAGGGGACACACTAGGGGAGTCACTCTCCCATATCAGCCATAGAAATGGAAAATATTTTAACTTTAATATTAGTATAATATGTGGAGTCATAACGATGATAATCGATGGAAAATACAAAAAAGAAAAGGAATGTCCAAGAGCTGGAGCCTCCTGCATTTCTACTCCTCTTCCGCCTTCCCCTCCCATATCCATTATTTCCCTTCCATCCAGGCTTCCCCTTGCTTATCCCCCATTCGATCACTATATATGCGTATTATTATACATTATTAATATTATTATATATTATTATTATTATTATTATTATATATCATACATATATATATTACATATTATATTATTATTATATTATTATTATTATCGTTATTATTATATTAGTGGAAGCCCTGGGAATGGGAGGTAATCAAGTTTGATACTAGGAAGAGTAGGTAGATTTAGCTCCCCGGATCAAGAGCACTTCACCAGCATCATGGCAAATCCCCCCCCCAGTAGAACTACCTATCACCATCCATAACCACCACTGCCAGCACCTTGCACCTTCTACCACCACAACCATCACTACCACTAGTACCACAATCTACCACCACCACCATCACTACCACTGGTTACCACCACCTACCACCATCACTACTACCACCACCTTCACTACAACCACCACCATCACTACCACCACCACCATCACTACCACCACCACCCTCACTATCACCACAACCATCCACCACCTTCATAATCCATCCCTTCACCCCTTTCACCCTGGCAGGATGAGCCTCCTGGTCCACCTGGTCCATCTGGTCCACTCGTGTGGTCAGGGGAACAAGGCCGTGTTGGGCAAGCTGAAAGTACCACAGTTAGTAGAGCTGAGAGTGTCCAGTTGACCCATTTCTTCATTGTATCAGTTTGTGTTGAGAAGTCACAGCAGCTGGACGTGGGCAAGTTGCAAGGGAAGAATAAACTGTAATAATGATCTTGGTAATCATTTATCTCAGCTAGGAGGCTGAGAAGAGACTGCATTCTTATGGAACGAATCATTTGACGAATTCGAAGCGTTCGTGTCGGGAAGTACGAGAAAGAAAGACAGTCAAGTATAGAAGCAACACAGGTCAAGTCACGGGGAGCAACACAAGTCAAGCAACGGAAAACAACACAGAAGTAAGAATCCATCAGCTGAGAAATGAGTAAACAACTCTTCAATGAAAGTCCAATTAACTAAGGACCTGCCAGGGCCAGCCCTCTGGACTTCGTCTTGAAGACTCTCTTGCGGAGTTCGAGAGACGCGCTGTGGCGTAAGGAGCATCGAAGTGATGTCTGGAGCGAGTGACGGAGAACCCGACAGGCTGGCGAGGTTCCTGGTAGCTGTGGTGGCGGTGTACTTCCTTCAGGCAGGTCCTGCCACCTGTTACCAGTTCAAGACTGGCAACTGTGCTTCCATCTCCCCCGCGGTCAAAGACTTCTCACTCCAGCAGGTAAAAAAAAAAACTCTTAAAACCACTTATTCTCGTGTTTATCTTTATATAATTCAGCTATATTTTTAATTACATATTTTTTATTTGAAGTTATCTTGCATTCTAAAACTTACATCTTTTAGGGCTTCACATAATTATATTATTATTATTGTTCTGTGATGCTTTGAGTGTTAATACTGTGAAATTCTGTAATTTAAAATCGTTTTAATGGGAAACTCTGTGTCCTAAAAACTTGTTTCCATTGCTTTCTTATTTTGTGTGGTCGAGAAGCGACTGACATCACAATTATTATTATTATAATCAAAAAGAAGCGCTAAACCACAAGGGCTATACAACTGACATCACAAGACAAAGACAACTTTCTGGAGATATAAATTCTCATCAGCAGAAGCAGTATATTATGCAAATTTCAGCTTTGATGCAACTCTCAGTAAGGTTCAGATTATGAGGACGAGCGGTTACTGCTGTTGTGTGAACGTTGTTTGCCTCTGACCTGACTAGGGTCATTGACCTGACGAGGGTCATTGACCTGACGTGAACTCTTGGAAACTTTTTTGATAACTGTGACACGATGTGACCTTTTGTAGGGTTTTAATTATCCTGTGTGACCTCGACACTAACAACATGACGCCATCAATTTCCTCGTTTCCCTTTTATTTTTAAGTGATGTTCCTCTCGTTCTCTACCTTGTCCCTTCCCTCAGTCATCCTTCCATACACTATGTTTGCTTATCGTCTTCCTACTTCATTGTTTCTCTCAGTTATCCTTTATCCCCCTTTTCCCTCGTTTCGTTATTTTATCCATCCTTCTCTTTGTTATTCTCTCAAATTACTATTCGCCCTTCCGTCTACTTCAGTAATTTTATCATATGTCACTATTTCTTTCATCATTCTCCTACGCATGACCTTTATTTTTATCAGTTTTTCTTCATTGTCACTCTTTCTTTAGTTATATTTTCCGTTCATCTCCATTCGTTAAATTATTTAAACTATTTATTACATGTTAAATCAATCACATATTATCATCATTCTGTCACTCTTCCAGTGTCACTCATTCTCAGCACTCTTTCCAGTTCCACTCATTCTTCAGTCACTCTTCTACCGTGTCACTCATTTCTTCAGTCACTCTTCCGTGTCACTATTCTTCAGTCACTCTTCCCGTTCACTCATTCTTCAGTTCACTCTTCCCTTGTCACTCATTCTTCAGTCAACTCTTCCAGTGTCATCATTCTTCAGTCACTCTTCCAGTGTCACTCATTCTTCAGTCACTCTTCCCGTGTCACTCATTCTTCAGTCACTCTTTCCGTGTCACTCATTCTTCAGTCACTCTTCCCGTGTCACTCATTCTTCAGTCATTCTTCCAGTGTCACCCATTCTTCAGTCACTCTTCCAGTGTCACTCATTCTTCAGTCACTCTTTCCAGTGTCACTCATTCTTCAGTCACTCTTCCAGTGTCACTCATTCTTCAGTCACTCTTCCAGTGTCACTCATTCTTCAGTCACTCTTCCCGTGTCACTCATTCTTCAGTCACTCTTCCAGTGTCACTCATTCTTCAGTCACTCTTCCCGTGTCACTCATTCTTCAGTCACTCTTCCAGTGTCACTCATTCTTCAGTCACTCTTCCAGTGTCACTCATTCTTCAGTCACTCTTCCAGTGTCACTCATTCTTCAGTCACTCTTCCCGTGTCACTCATTCTTCAGTCACTCTTCCCGTGTCACTCATTCTTCAGTCACTCTTCCCGTGTCACTCATTCTTCAGTCACTCTTCCAGTGTCACCATTTCTTCAGTCACTCTTTCCCCGTGTCACTCATTCTTCAGTCACTCTTCCGTGTCACCATTCTTCAGTCACTCTTCCCGTGTCACTCATTCTTCAGTCACTCTTCCCGTGTCACTCATTCTTCAGTCACTCTTCCCGTGTCACTCATTCTTCAGTCATTCTTCCAGTGTCACCCATTCTTCAGTCACTCTTCCAGTGTCACTCATTCTTCAGTCACTCTTCCAGTGTCACTCATTCTTCAGTCACTCTTCCAGTGTCACTCATCTATTCTTCAGTACACTCTATCTCCAGTGTCACTCATTCTTCAGTCACTCTTCCAGTGTCACTAATTCTTCAGTCACTCCTTCCCGTGTCACTCATTCTTCAGTCACTCTTCCAGTGTCACCATTCTTCAGTCACTCTTCCAGTGTCACTCATTCTTCAGTCACTCTTCCCGTGTCACTCATTCTTCAGTCACTCTTCCAGTGTCACTCATTCTTCAGTCACTCTTCCCGTGTCACTCATTCTTCAGTCACTCTTCCCGTGTCACTCATTCTTCAGTCACTCTTCCAGTGTCACCCATTCTTCAGTCACTCTTCCGTGTCACTCATTCTTCAGTCACTCTTCCCGTGTCACTCATTCTTCAGTCACTCTTCCGTGTCACTCATTCTTCAGTCACTCTTCCGTGTCACTCATTCTTCAGTCACTCTTCCAGTGTCACTCATTCTTCAGTCACTCTTCTCACTCTTCCCGTGTCACTCATTCTTCAGTCACTCTTCCCGTGTCACTCATTCTTCAGTCACTCTTCCAGTGTCACTCATTCTTCAGTCATCCTTCCCGTGTCACTCATTCTTCAGTCACTCTTCCAGTGTCACCATCTCAATTCTTCATCCACTCTTCCCGTGTCACTCATTCTTCAGTCACTCTTCCCGTGTCACTCATTCTTCAGTCACTCTTCCCGTGTCACTCATTCTTCAGTCACTCTTCCCGTGTCACTCATTCTTCAGTCACTCTTCCCGTGTCACTCATTCTTTAGTCACTCTTCCAGTGTCACTCATTCTTCAGTCACTCTTCCAGTGTCACTCATTCTTCAGTCACTCTTCCCGTGTCACTCATTCTTCAGTCACTCTTCCCGTGTCACTCATTCTTCAGTCACTCTTCCCGTGTCACTCATTCTTCAGTCACCCTTCCCGTGTCACTCATTCTTCAGTCACTCTTCCCGTGTCACTCATTCTTAACTCTTCCCATGTCACTCATTTTTCCGTCACTCTTCCCGTGTCACTCATTCTTCAGTCACTCTTCCCGTGTCACTCATTCTTCAGTCACTCTTCCCGTGTCACTCATTCTTCAGTCACTCTTCCCGTGTCACTCATTCTTCAGTCACTCTTCCAGTGTCACTCATTCTTCAGTCACTCTTCCAGTGTCACTCATTCTTCAGTCACTCTTCCCGTGTCACTCATTCTTCAGTCACTCTTCCCGTGTCACTCGTTCTTCAGTCACTCTTCCCGTGTCACTCGTTCTTCAGTCACTCTTCCCGTGTCACTCATTCTTCAGTCACTCTTCCCGTGTCACTCATTCTTAACTCTTCCCATGTCACTCATTCTTGTCTCTTCCGTCACTCTTTCTCCGTGTCACTCCATTCTTCATCACTCTTCCCATGTCACTCATTTTTCCGTCACTCTTCCCGTGTCACTCATTCTTCACTCTTCCCATGTAACTCATTCTTCAGTCACTCTTCCCGTGTCACTCATTCTTCAGTCACTCTTCCGTGTCACTCATTCTTAACTCTTCCCATGTCACTCATTTTTCCGTCACTCTTCCCGTGTCACTCATTCTTCACTCTTCCCATGTAACTCATTCTTCAGTCACTCTTCCCGTGTCACTCATTCTTCAGTCACTCTTCCCGTGTCACTCATTCTTCAGTCACTCTTCCCGTGTCACTCATTCTTCAGTCACTCTTCCCGTGTCACTCATTCTTCAGTCACTCTTCCCGTGTAACTCATTCTTCAGTCACTCTTCCCGTGTCACTCATTCTTCAGTCACTCTTCCCGTGTCACTCGTTCTTCAGTCACTCTTCCCGTGTCACACTTCATCATCTTCTAGTTCCATCACTCTTCCCGTGTCACTCATTCTTCATAGTCACTCTTTACTTCCCGTGTCACTCATTCTTCACTCTTCGCATGTCACTCATTCTTCAGTCACTTTTCCCGTGTCACTCATTCTTCACTCCTCGCCTCTCACTCATTCTTCAGTCACTTTTCCCGTGTCACTCATTCTTCAGTCACTCTTCCCGTGTCACTCATTCTTCAGTGAATCACTCCACATAAAACTAATTATCCATACTTGCAACTAATTACCCTTCCTCACTTGTCACCCATCTCTAGTCATTCGTTCAAACTTATCACCCATTTTCGGTCCTTCGCCCCTATACATTAATCATCGCTTATCTACCCCACAAGTGCCAGAAATCTGCCAGTATTTGCCAGGAGTCACGACTGAGAGAGCGCGGAACCATCCTGCCTTTCATCGTTCAGTTAGTATTCCCCTCACGCGCCTTTGTTTACGTTCGTGTGAAGCAATCCGGATATGTCAATAAGCGGAAGTTGCTGGGCTTATAACGGGAACTCTCGACTCCCAAAGAGCATTATTATTTCGTGTTTAGTTGAATGGGAGGTAAAAACATTGAAAGGTGTGTGTGTGTGTGTATGAGTGTGTGTGTTTCCTTGCCTACTTGTAGTTCCAGGAGTTGAGTCATATACTCGTGACTGTGCTGACACTCATCTCTCACTCGACCCTGTCATCTCTCACTCGACCCTGTCATCTCTCACTCGACCCTGTTATCTCTCACTCGACCCTGTCATCTCTCACTCGACCCTCTCATCTCTCACTGGACCATGTCATCTCTCACTCGACCCTGTCATCTCTCACTCGACCCTGTCATCTCTCACTCGACCCTGTCATCTCTCACTCGACCCTGTCATCTCTCACTCGACCCTCTCATCTCTCACTCGACCCTGTCATCTCTCACTCGACCCTGTCATCTCTCACTCGACCATGTCATCTCTCACTCGACCCTGTCGTCTCTCACTCGACCCTGTCATCTCTCACTCGACCATGTCATCTCTCACTCGACCCTGTCGTCTCTCACTGGACCATGTCATCTCTCACTCGACCCTGTCATCTCTCACTCGACCCTGTCATCTCTCACTCGACCCTGTCATCTCTCACTCGACCCTCTCATCTC